CTTCCTCTTTGCTTCTAAGCAGAACCTCCCCCTTACACCAGTGAATAGCCTTTCTTTGCGTAGAACCCGACCAAAAAAACCTCCTCACCAAAGCATCCATTCTGTTCGTGATTGTTGTTGGGAGCAAAAACAGGAACATAATATACGTCGGAATTGCCTGTAACACTGCTTTGATAAGAGTCTCCTTCCCCCCTGGTGACAGTAGAAGACTTTGCCAGTTTTCCCCTCTGCTTTCCATTCTTTGTAAGAGAAAAGTAAACGTTTCCATTTTGGAATTCCCCCACTCCGTTGGGACTCCCAGGTAGTTTGAATGGTTGTTGTTGTATGGGAAACCCAACACCTCACGAATCAAACCTCTTTCTTCCTCCAAAGTATTCGCACTGAAGAACACCGATGATTTTTGTGCGTTGATTTCTTGCCCTGTAATCGCCCCATAATCATTAATAATCCCCATAATAGTGGTACCTTCATCCGCCGAATCTTTACCAAAAATAACCGTGTCATCAGCAAACAGGCAGTGTGTTAGCTTTGGACATCTTTGGGTGAGCTTCAATCCTTGCAGTTCATTGTTGGTAGCAGCTTTCTCAATGAGGAAGGTCAGGGCGTTAGACATCAGGATGAACAGGAGGGGGGAGAGGGGATCACCTTGGCGGATTCCTCTGGATGGTTAGAAGTCCAAAGTAGGCTCACTGTTGAAAAGGATTGAAAAATTAACCGTCCTAATGCACTCCCTCACCCAATTGCACCATCGAACATCAAACCCGTACCTTGCGAGTAGAGAATCCAGGCAGTCCCAATCGACAAGATCGTAGGCTTTTCTCATATCCAACTTGAGCATCATATCCTTCTTGTTTCCCACTTTATGCTTTTTGAAATGGTGTAGGACCTCGTGTACAATGATAATGTTATCCTGGATCTGTCTTCCTCCTGTGAACGCGGCTTGCAGTTCTGAGATCAACAATGGTAGCCATGTCTGAAGTCTGGATGCCATAATCTTTGTAATAATTTTGTACCTGAAATTGCAGCAGCTTATTGGTCTGAATTGTGAAATCGTCTCAGGAGAGTCAACCTTAGGAACCAAGGTAATGTACGTATCATTCCAACCCTGCGCCATTTTCCCTGAAGAAAAAAACCCCCTTACTTCCTCACACAGTCCTTGCCCCACTGTTCCCCAGTATTTGCGGAAAAAAAAACCCCGGAAATCCATCCGGCCCCGGTGCTTTTGAGTGCCCAAGCTGGAAAGTGGCTTTTCGGATCTCCTCGTCAGTAAAGGAGGCGCACAACGATGTGTTCATTTCCTCTGTGACAATTGAGGGGAAATCATTAAGGAGGTGCTCCAGAGTATCACTATTACGTCTCGTGAAAAGCTCCACGTAGTAATTTCTGCAGTGATCCCGTAGCGCTAGCTCGTCCTCCATCCAGTTACCCTCCTCATCCCTGAGTTTCATAATGCGGTTACTGTTTCTCCTCTTGATTGTTGATGCATGAAAAAAAGCAGTATTCTGGTCCCCCCTTTGTAGCCAATTGATCCGCGATCTTTGGGCCCAAAACTCTTCTTCGGCTTTCCACAGAGCTGTTAGTTCCCCCATCAGAGATTTCTCCTCTTCCACTTGTGCTTGTGATCTATTTGGCCCTTGAGTTAAAACCAGCCTCCTCCTGATATCCGCTTCTTTCTCTAGGCTTTTCCTTCTTTCCTCTTTTGCCCAGGCTTGGACAACATTTGCACATTGAGTCATATTTTCATTTAAATTGCCTCCCACCTCCCAAATGTTTGTAACAATATCAGTGCATTCCTGAGACTCCCTCCACCTTTTATCGAATCTGAACGGAGTCTTTTGCCGCCTCTCCCGGACGTGTAGGTCGAGTCTGATCGGGCAGTGATCCGATTGTATCATTTCTTCGTGGAATACCATTGCTTTGTCAAATAGTAGTCTCCAGGCGGTAGAACACAAGGCACGGTCTAATCTTTCCCGGATCAAGTTGTTCCCTTGATGTTTGTTTGACCACGTATAAACTTGACCCTTGAAACCCAAGTCAATAAGGCAATTATGGGCGATAAAATACTTGAACGGTTGGACATTCTCATTCCTTAGAGGACATCTCCCCTCTTTTTCAGCTTCACATAGAGCTACATTTAGGTCACCTATAATAAGCCAGGCCGCATTGGCCGATTGGCGGATACCACTAAGCTTCTCCCAGAAAGCCCTTCTACATGAAGGGGAGGCTGGGGCATGTACAAAGGTACAGAAGAAGTTCTTACTACCATAAGTAATGACTCCATCTATATAATTCGGGCAGGAGTCAAGGATTTGAAAATTGACTCCTACTTTCCACCATAGTGCTAAACCGCTGCACCCTTCTGATGGTTGGACGTACACTTTTCCGGTAAAATTTGTCTTCCTTCTCTCCGTTTCCATGAACTCCTGGTCCTTCTTTGTTTCCATGATGAAAAGGAAAGACGGGCCATATCTGCGGCATAATATACCACAGTAGCTTCTTGCTAGGGGCTGGCCGAACCCCCTGCAATTCCAGCTCAGCATCATTCTGTTTGAGGTGGCTCAAGGCGGACCACCGCTGCCTCCGGCTCTTTTCCTTGTTCTTCTCCTGAGCCATCTTGATTTGTCTCCCTTGCTCCAGTTGATCTTCTTCTTATTCCCAGCTTCTTCCTCTGTTTCCCTGCTTCACTCAGACCTGGGGAAAAAAGAAAACACTCAGAGGAAAAATTAGTCTCTTGATGCTGCGCGCCACTTTTGCCTTCCTCTTGGGCTCGCTGGTCTGATTTCCTCTTCTTAATCACCCGGCCCAAATTCCTCTCATAATTCTGCATTGCCTCTTGGACTAGTGTTAGTTGATGAGAATATTGCTCGGTTGGCCCAGATGACAGGCCCAGCAGATTGAGAGTAGTTGTTGGGCTTGCTCGGCTAAGCCCACTGCTTGAGGCCCCATCAGCCTGCCCCCCTTCCGTTTCTTCTTCTCCCTCATTCAGATCAAGACCTTTTCCCAACCCTGCTGCCACCTCTTCCATCTCTTCCTCAAGCTGTCTAGGTTCAGTGACTTTCCCAAAAGTTGTGTGAGGGAAGAAGTCTGAAATTCTTCTGTCACTCCTGTGTATCCCCTGGCCTCCTTCAAAACCCGGTGGGCAAGATAGGCGCAGAGTGGTCAGGTGTGGCAGATTGTCAGTCCTCTGGGGCTCCCAAAGTCCACCTCGGGTTGCGGACGGGGCGTCAGCAGTGGCGACCACTGTTCCGTGGCCGATCTCGGGGTTCCCCGCCATCCTCCTCCTGAAGAACGACGGTGGTGGGACGCAGTCCGGCGAGTCTGCCCCAGCTCTCAGTGCCGCCGTGTATAGTCCCGACGCCTCGATCGATAATCCCCTCCTTCTGTTTTCTTCTCGATTCGAACAGTTGTGGATGAAATGGCCGATCCTGCCGCAGAAGTAGCATAGATCGGTCACTCTCTCATATTTGAAACCGACCCACACCGATGCCTCTCCCAACGGGTATTCGAAGCCAGTGGGAATCGGCCTGTGCAGATCCACCTCCACCATTGCTCTGACAAATCTCCTCCATCCTCTTGTTTCAAGACCCGATCTGTCCACCTTATGGAATCGGGGGAAGACGAAGGAGGATAAGACTTGGATTGTAGTAGCATCTCTCAGAGGTTGTGGCAGATTGTGGAATTGGACCCATAGCGAGATCGTTGGTATCTCCATTTCTTGTGGTGTCACCACTCTATCCCATTTCTTCAAAGCCACAAGGGTGTTGTTGATGTTCCAGGGCCTAGCTTCCCAGACGGCGTCTCTCGCCCTTTCTGAAGCGAAAGAGTAGACATAGAGGTTCTTGGCCTCCCTTTCTGCCTCAATTTCCCCAAATTCCTTCCACCTAGCCTGGGCAGCACTCTTGGCTTTTGGTGGAGGGATTGGGGCTTCAGTGAGCCATTTCCCCAGTAACATGGCCATCCCTCTGCCTCTTCCTCCTACCACTTCTGGCTGGATGTTCAGCACAAGGTGCCCTTTCTCTGCACTCTCATTCACCAGATTGGCCTCCATGTTTCCCCGCCTAAGGATTGGTTTCTGTATGCGATCTTTTGGATACTGGACACTGAGAATTGTTATCTCTGCTTTGTAGCTATTTTTCTCTCTGCCTTTGGTGTTTCTTCTTCTTCCCCAATCGATTCCTTTTATAGCTCTTGATCCAGCATTTAAGAGTTTGGTCTTTTCCATCACTTTCTGCAGCTTGTCACCCCTTTTCTTCTTGAGCCGATTCTGCTGGAGGTTCAGATGCCTGATTTGGGATCTTTTGGGGATTTTCTGGTTTTTCCTGGTGAGATTAGTGACTTGCAATCGCTTCTCATTAAGATGGAGTTGATTTGTAGCCTCCATTCCCGGGCAGACCCATTTCTTCCCTGGAATAGGCCGGCGGCTGATGTAACCCGCAGATGGACTGGCCTGGGAGGTGATCCCTCTTAAAGGCCTGGGTCTTCCTTGATCAGAGTAGCGAGTCACTCTGGGCACCTCCTTTGTTATTTCTGGGTGGTAGCTGATGTATCTCGGCTTAGTAAGAGGTTGGTTAGTGCGCCCTCTTAATGGCCTGGGCTTTTCTTGATCAGGGGGAGGTTTCCCCATCTCTCCCGCATTAATCGCCCTTCCCTCCTGGAACTCCAAGTAACTAGGTTGATGTCTGGTTGGGTTAGTCTTCAGCTTCTGGTTTCCTCGCGGTGAAACTTCCTGGGTTCGTTGTGCTAGTTTGCTCGCTTGTGATACATTGATCGCTCCAGTTACGGCAGCAGGGAGAATATTTGAATATTGCAGTAGAGATTTTCCGGTGTGCGGTGCGGTAGAGGGGAGAGGAGAGAGGAAAAAGGAAGGCATTTTTGAAATTTTTTGACCGCTAGTGGTTTAATAATTCTAATAGTAAGATGCTTGAGAAAGTAAATTATAGTACAGGTGAGTGTGCTTGATGTTGATCGGAGCACTACTAAGATAATGGGAAAAGGAAGTTTACTACTCGAGTCTTACAGGTTGGTTAGGTGTTTTCAACCCGACGGAACGTACTTGGAATGTTCTTGTTGTGCCGCCACCTAAATGTCCTGAGAACTTCTTTGCTAAGAATTGGTGGAAGGGGAAATTTATGACCGAGCATCATGATGATGTTTTGGTTATTTATTCCGGTTGCAGTCAGAATCCGATTATATTTAGGTTGGATCAACCAAACATAATCTGGGAAAAGATGAGTACTGTAAACGGGTTGACATTGTTTGCAAGTTTCTTGTCATCTCATTCTAGAATTCACCTGCCAGGTATTATGAGGAACAGTGTCTACTTCTCTGGGTTCACTTCCTGGGTTTGATTTGACGTTCCAAATAGTAGCCTTCTCTCATTCACCAACATTTTCCGGCTGTGTGGTATTTACAGTGAATCATGTAAGTCTTAGTATGGGCTACCCGTGGGTATCCGTTATTCGTCTCGCACGGGTTATAGGTACTCGTTAATCCGTACAGGTTTGGGATATGGGATGGAGTTTCCTCTTCAAAGTGGATTGGGTACCCATTTCAAACTGGACGGGACGTTGCCCACCCCTATACTCTGAGAATCCAAAAATCCAAATTCTTCATCGCCTCACTCGACAACTTTCTCCAAGAGCACATCAAGGTCAGCGGCATGGTCGGAGCTCTCGGTGGTTGAGATAGACGACACGAAATCGTTGGCCTTCTGGTCGACTCCCTCGTGCGGGTCATTTTAATTGTTTACACGGCCTGGCTAACTACCCCATTTCGAGCCAAGTATAACTCAAAATGGCGACCAAGGTCGTATTCCACGGGTTTCGATACCCTAGGTTAATTCTCACGTTGCTATTTAGCCGATTGATTTCATTTGATTTTCAGAGGTTAATTGAAAATAATGGTTCAACGATTAACCATTATAGAATCGTTAGTTAACTGTTGATAGAAACGTTCATGTATTGTAACATAAAACACATATGTAATACACTAATTTAGGAGTGAAATTATCACTAACCATAAACAAATTCAAATTCATATCATCTATTAGGGCTGACTATTTGGTCCTAGCTTTTTGGTTTTACCCGAAACTGGACCGTATAGCAAACAATCCGATCCAATCTTTGGGCCAAGATTTGAGGTAAAAAACCGTTTGGGATCGGATCGAAAACCGGATAAGAGAGCCCAACACCCAAAATGTAACCTCCTTACCCTTGCAGGCCTTAGGCCACTCAAATCCCCCCTCAGACCACTCAAGTTCAATCTAAAATAAAGACCAAATTGGGACCAAACCGGTTCAAGACCGGATTGTACCCAATTCAATTTCTGGTCCTTATATTCTCAAAAAGACCGGACCGGGACCGGGTCAATTCAGTTCAATTTAACAGGACCGGACCGTATAGCCACCCCTGTCATATATCACAAAAAAAAAATTAACAAAGTATTCATACTTATCATAAAAGCAATCAATTTTTTTATTAACTTCAAGTCGGTAATCAGGGTGACAATCCCTGGTGGACTACATATAACTGACAAGAAGATTGAAAAATGAAGAAAAGAAGCATAAATGTGACTGAGGATGGATGATCTTAGTTTATGTTAAAGTATTTTTTTTTCTTAATCTTTTGTGGTTAAATTGTGAACTAGTGGACAAGGCAAATTGGGTTGGTTCATTTGGTTTCATGTCAAACTATTAAAAACCGTTGGGTCCATTATAACAATGTGCATCACTCATTTAATTATCAACTATTAAAATTGACCACCACGTAGAACAAATTTGACAAAAATAATGGCGAGTGAAACGAAAACTCAAAGCTAGTGATCATTTATGCAATTTTAATCTAGAATGATGGAGTATGTTTCACAAAGTATTTGTGTTAGAAACCAGCATTTTAGTCTAGGGTTCTGAGATCAAGATCTATAGAAAATTGGAGATTATGGATTTATTAGAGATATATGCGGGAAAGAGAGGGGAATTGAGGGGGAAGAGGGTCGGCGACCAAGGGGTGGCCGACGACGATGATGAGGAAAGAAAGTGAGAGGTTTCAACGGGTAGAGAGAGAGAGAGAAAAGAGAGATTAGAGTTTAGGGAATTTTGTTATGTATTTGTCTAATGAGAAAATACCCACTAGTTACAAAATATATAACCCAAATAATTCCCACAAACTACCCAGAATAATACCTCCTAACAAAAATAACCAAATAACCCAAATGTGCCCAAAAATCACAAAATAATAACCAAAATCACCCGAACACAAATAAAACGACAAACAAGTCCGAATACCGAAATCACTCAAAAAGTGGGTTTCTACTTTCTAACAATCCATCCCTCTCGAAATCAATGTTGCCCTCAAGGTGACCTGCACACACGGGTTCCCCTTTGCCTCCTTTGTCGCGAGCTCCTAGGTTTCATCCTCCAAGTTGCCTAGGAGTAGCATCAAGTGACCCTTGGCGCACAGGTGTCGAACCGTATACCTCCCGTCGCAGTTGAAGTATAGTCCGTCTCTGCACTTCTGCTCCATCTCCGCTAGTGTGAGCTTCACAAAAACCTTGATGAGTTAATTTGGGTCCTTGTCACCCTCTTGGTGACATTACAGCCATTGTTGCTGGCACTGCTCCGGCTGGAGCTGCGGCCGCAACTCCCATCTTACCGCTAGCTCCTGTACTACCTATGGCGACCTTCTGAACTCGTGTCGGGCTCCTCTTCCATTTTCTAGCTCCTCGTCTTTGCGCACTTCTATTCGGAAGGCCATCCTCAAGGAACCGGGTTCGAACACCTTCACCGTTGCCGCCTACTTCTGCCTCAAACCTATAAGACAAAGACCAACCAAATTCTCCTCCGGCATACCTTTGCACATATTTCTTAACCTCTAGAACTCTGATCGAAGCTTCACCGCACTGCCTGTCTATCTCAACTTAGCCAGCTGCTCTAGCGGCCACCCTTCCAATTTCCCAAACTAGTACTACAACTCCTCCTTAAATCGAGGCCATGTGATCAACATCTCTGCCTATGTATATGACCGCTCCATCCACTCCGACCACTAGAGGGCATCTCCCTCCAAGTAGAATGACGCAAGATATGCCTTTCTCTCCTCTCGAGTGGGGTGATTCTTAAACCACCTATATGTATCATAAATCTATAACCCTGCATCCTCATTACCGTTGAATTTTAGAAGCTCAATGATCTAGGGCTTAGCTCTAAATATGAGTTCATCCTCACCCTCATACATAGAATTATAGCCACCAAACCTGCCAATGCCATGACAGCCCCGATAACCTTCCTCTCCGTCGTCGTGATCCTGCCACCTCCTAAATTAACTTTCAAAACCCCAGTCATCCTCCTCATCACTCCAACTTCCATTCCTAGCTCCTAATCCTTATCCCACTTCTAACAAGAATGACGTCGGCCAGCCTTTGTGGTTTCCAGGGGAGGCTACATTGCCTCAAAAGCGTCTCCCATGCCCTTCCAATGGCCCAGTCGGCCAGAATCACCCCTGGTGGCCGATTCTGGTCAATTTTCGTTTGACTGATTCTAAAGATGGGAAATGGTGTGGTCAGGTCCAGAACATACCACATATACGGTCTATGGTCTTGAGTCTTGACCGAAAGGCTGGAGTATAGACTAGAGACCAAACCACGTACTGTACGGTCCAGACTAGACCACGCCTGTGGGGTCTGATGCGGTACAGTCTGGTCCAAATAGACCACAATGAATAAAAATGAACAATTTGTTTTTTCAAACACACAATAAATTGAATCAATAACCGAGAAAAAATCTACACTCGTCCAGATAAACCCTACACTCTTAATAGTCTTCCACTTTTCTGTTTTGATGTTCGTTGGCCGATAACCTGGAGGTTCGAGTTTTGGTAAGTGGTAACCTATGTGTGGAATGAAAATGTTCACATATCCCTAATGTATAGGCTCTGGGTGCGCCTGAAACGCCTCCGCCATCTCTTGTATGACTGGAGTAGGGCAGGCACAACAAATTCCTTACGGAATATGAAGACCCTCCAGGCATAGATAGATTAGGTGAAATCAGTCCACCCCATCAACTGGGATAAGGTTCATGATCTGGAGACTGATCTTGGTTGCCAATGGGAGGCAGAGAAAATTTACTGGCAGTAGAAATCTAGGGTTCGGTGGCTCAAGAAAGGTGATCGTAATACATCTTATTTTCACACAGTCACTAAGACGGGGAGGAAGATGAATTTTGTGGCAGGTTTATATGATGATAATAGGGGTGGCAGTTTGGTTATTTTTGTTATAACCGGTGACCGATCGGCCGGTTATCGGTTAACCGAAATAACCACTCCTCCTACCGAAAACCACCCGAAATAGACTTCGGTTTCTCGGTTATCGGTTAACCGAACCACTTTTAAGAACAAAAACTATTTCGTCCAGCCTCCGATAACCGACCAAAGTTCGGTTACCGGTTAGTGGATAACCTAGCTAGAACTCCCCCCCCCCCCCCACACACACACTCTCTCTCTCTCTCCCAAGAAGTTAATGCTACTACTCATTCAACCCCATCAGAGTATGAATGTTGCCGCGGCCCTCTAGCGGATATGGAAATTCATAATTTGGGTTGTCTTTGAAAGGAAACAATTTCAGGTAATATCATTGATGTGTCAGTATCATCAACAAATCCACGAATGGATCGGTTTACGAACTGACTGAGTGACCTCAGCTCCTCCCCTCCATATTGAGTGCTTGAATGCTTCAGACCCTGTCTTATTCACTTGCATGTGACATGGTGCAACAAGGAATGGATCACATTCGGCGGGAGGAATGGTTTCAAAAGACCGGAGTGGTTTGATTGTCTTGGCTAGGGGAGTACATATTGAAAATATTGATGATCCACCAATAGTAGAACTATTAGTCATCCGCAAGGCCATCCAATGGTGACTAGATTGTGGCCTCTCACAGGTTCGTTTTGAAGGGGACGCAAAGGTGGTCATTGACAAGATAAACCAGGCCGATAAAAAAAGATTATCACTTTGGAGCCATTCTCGAGGAAGTTCTTTGTTTGTTGGCAATACATAATGGTCTTAGCTAGCGTAGGATTTGTAGGCCAAGTAAGCAATGAAGTAGCCCACTTGGTGGTTAGAAAGACTCTTTATTTGTAGCCGACTATGTGTCGTTCTTTTGATTTTCTGTCCTGGTTGTATACCAGCCAGGGTGTAATGTGTTTAATATCTTTTTTAATCGATACAAGTTAATCTTTTATAAAAAAACCAAATGTGCCAAAAACCATAAAATAATCTTTTATAACAATTTGTTAGAGAAGCCGAAAACGAACAATATTATCGGTAGATTAACACTAGATTGAAATACAATAAAAAAGGTAAAAAAAAAATCTAAAATCGTTTATTTTGCTTATTTTGTTAATTGTCTTTCACTCTCTCGCACGTTCTATTTCCTTTCCTTTCTTCATTTCTTTTCACCCTTCTCCACAACACGCTCTCACCTTCCATTTATATCTCTGCATTATCAATCTATCAAATTGCTGGTAGCTCGACAACAAAGCATAGTAAGCAATTTCTTCGGATGCCCTACAATGGCGGAACCGGGTAACTTGGAACCCTCCACCCATCCCCTTCATCACGAGGGAAAGACCAAACCTTATATTTTTTTTCTCTTTCCTCTCAACGGTCCGCCATCTCCTACTACCAAGCTACGGTAGCATCTCACCTCCTAACTTCCATTCTTCTTCTTTTCACCCCTCTCCCTTCTTCCTTCCTCCCCGTCTTTAATGGGTTTTCTCAATTTGTGTTCTTAACTTCCGAAACTCCATCTTTCCCGTTTCGTCGCCCTCTTTTCCCTGAACTGATCCGCCATAGTCGCCGTCCTCTGTTTTTCTTTTCTTCCTCTAGGAACAGAGTTGATCACGTTTTTGTGTGTGTGTGTAATTCACGAAATCTTATTCAATTGTTGATGGATCTCATCATCCATTCCCGATGCCGTCCAGGGGACACCCAAAAGATTTTGATCTCTTGGGATTCACCAAGCTAGAAAGCAAAACAATTCTTCATTGAAAAAAATAAGATAATGGCGTGTTTGCCAGTCGGTATGGGTGCGTGCCTCCAGCTCATAACTAGCTAATCTTGATGTTTGTTGCATCTTCTTAAAGCCCAAATTTAACGAAAGGGAATGGGCATTTGGGGATGGTGATGATGGGTGTAACAGGGCAAGCGACGACTTCTTCTCCACCACATGATCTTCCACTCCCACCTCCTCCTTCTGGCCAGATTCCCAGGCTACCGGATGGAAGCAAAAGCACCGATCAGTGCAGTACCAGCGGCAGTACCAAGGGGGGATTTGGTTCCCCTGAGACGTCGCCGGAGGCCGAAAAGGGCGACACTTTGGGGAACATGAACCAGTTCAGTAGTGCAGGAAAGCCGCCCAGAAATGTATCCGCTATGCGCCACTGTAGCAGCTCTGTTTTCTTGCCTGATTCTGTGAGCTTGCTAATTTCTCTATTACTTACTTTTTTAGTTTGTAAGAGGATATTTGTAGTGGTATGTATTATTATGTTGCCTTTGACGTAGGAATCAGATATGGGAACGGGCGGGTTGAAGTCTCCAGGTTCATCATCAACATCAAATGACAAGACTCAGTCCTCGTTCGAGCCATGGTTTCGTTCGGGGAGTTGGTCGGAGAAAGGCCCCAAACAGTTCATGGAAGACGAGTTCATTTGCGTCGATAATCTGCAGCAACATATCCACCATTTCTTTGGGTCTGCTACTTCTGCAGCAAGTAACGACAGCGACAACAACCATAAGTACAAGGAGCTGCCTTCACCATCCGCAGCATTTTATGGGGTCTGTTTACTAATCCTGCTAATTGATTACTCAATTCCGTCATTACAGCTGTAATGATGATGATGTTGTTACTTGAGGCTGCAGATCTTTGATGGGCATGGAGGGGTGGACGCGGCGTCGTTTACAAGGAAGAACATGCTGGAATTCATATTGGAAGACTCGCAGTTCCCAAGTGGGACGAAGAAGGCGGTGAGGAATGCGTTTGTGAAGGCCGACCATGCGCTCGCCGATGCCAAAACTGTCGACACTTCCTCTGGCACCACCGCCCTCACTGCTCTTATTCTCGGCAGGTAATAAGCAACCAACTTAATTGCGTATTCACTTAAATTGCATTTGTTATTTTGTTCATGTTAATGAGAATGATGTTTCTGTTACTCCTTGTATTATGCTCTGTTTAAGTTTAACAAACCATTTCTATACGGGTACATGGTAATTGATCAATGGTCACATAGATTTGTTAACTGTTAAGTAATTGAAAACAACTCGCAGTCTTAATTGGGTTAAAATGCGACTCTACTATAACATGCCCTTGTACTCAAAATACTAAACCAGTGTCACTCTGAAAAATGTAGTGATATGGTTTATTAACATGCTTTTATTCAATCCAAAAGGAAACCTCCCTAGTAGGATGCTGATGTCCAGTTTGGTGGATGGTGCAGGAGGATGTTGATCGCGAATGCTGGAGATTCGCGAGCAGTGTTGGGGAAGCGAGGGAGAGCAATCGAGCTATCGAAGGACCACAAACCCAATTGCACGTCAGAAAGGCAGAGGATAGAGAGATTGGGAGGGGTGATATACGACGGCTACCTAAACGGGCAGCTCTCGGTGGCTCGCGCTCTGGGAGATTGGCACATCAAGGGTGCGAGTGGGAAGGGGGGCAAGAGCCCACTGAGCGCGGAGCCTGAGCTAGAAGAGATGGAGCTGACGGAAGAGGACGAGTTCTTGATCCTGGGATGTGATGGATTGTGGGACGTGATGAGCAGCCAGTGCGCAGTGACCATGGTGCGGAAGGAGCTTATGCAGCACAACGATCCCGCGAGGTGCTCTAAGGCTTTGGTTAAGGAGGCCTTACAACGCAACTCTTGCGATAACTTAACCGTTGTTGTTGTATGTTTCTCGTCGGATCCACCTCCCAAAATCGAGATCCCTAGGATCCATCGGAGAAGAAGCATCTCGGCTGAGGGTTTGGATCTTCTTAAAGGTGTCCTAAATAACGTATAAAAAACATGAACAAATATAACCATATAATGGCGAAATTATTGTTTTCTAATTGACAAGGATGTACGTGGTCCTCTTTGACATACTGCAAAACACTACATTGCTAGGTGCAAGGACTAGAAATTTGTGACAAGTGAGTGAGTATAATACACAAATTAGACATCAATAAATTGTAAGAAGTTAGTGGAGTGTTAAAAAGAGAGGACTAGAACCATACACAATACAATACAAAACGTAAGAGAGAGATTGATATTTTTTTGGGATTACTATAGTGATCAATGCTCATTTTCCCCCTGTATTTTCTTGGGAGCAACAGTAGCCATCAGTCTATTCACCCAGCCATACAAGTGGAGTACTGTAGAGTTTTGATTTCACTGAGAGTTTTTCTTTTCAATTCTTTTGTTACCCAAAGAAAAGAGATGAGAGTAATGAGATACGCTAGACGAGGGCTAGTTTTGTACCTAATGAACTTTTATATGATCATAGATTCACAGTAGATACACTTGAACCACGATGATAGTAATGGGTGAACGGTGAAAATAACCAAACCAGGAATTCACATTCGGTGTGAATTCACACTATTTTTTTGCCCACGTTTTTCGACGGTAAGAAACAAATTAAAATTAAATAATTCATAATATCATTGTGTAAGATACACCGTAAACTTTACATGTTGTCTTAATCATTAAGAAATATTTACATAATATTTTTATTTAATTGATACATAAGAATAAATATTGGGTTATAGGTATAATATGCCCATCTACTATGACGTTTTATCAAACATGCCCCTCTACTATTTTTTACATCAAATATGCCCCTGTACTTTGAAAAAATTATCAAACATGCCCTTCTGTTAAAATTTTCATTGAAAAAATCGTCAATCGTGGTTGAACCGAGATTTAGATGACCCGACATCGGAAAATGGGAGGAAAAATGTCAGTTTTGTCCCATGTTTTATTTCCCTGGGTCTTTTCAAAGTGAAATTATTTGAATGATTTGATTATACAAAAGAACGAAAAAATTCTAAAGTGAATTTATTATGGATATTTTAGTCATTTGTGTCGCCCAAACTAAAGTTCGGCCTTGGTTAACGGTTTTTGGATGAAAATTTTAACAAAAGGGTATGTTTGATCATTTTTACAAAGTACAGGGGCATGTTTGATGTAAAAAATAGTAGAGGGGCATGTTTGATAAAGCGTCATAGTAGAGGGGGCATATTATACCTATAACCCATAAATATTCACACATAAACTTAAGTATTTTCTTAATCATTACGAAAGACTTATTTAATAATTTTTAATAGATATATAAGAAATATTTATCACTCCATAAATTTTAAAGAATGTATTTGTGATTTATGTAACTATTACAGAACGTTGTTATGTAAATCTTCTGTAATGTGTAGGCTAATAATAAAATCATATTATAGAGAATATGAAATGTGATTAAATTTTATGCAAAGGTTAAATAAACTTACGACATCTTTGTGTAATGGAAATTGTTGAGATAATAAATATTTGAATTTTGCTACGGTGACATGCATGTCAACGTGACATGGACTTTTCGGTCGACCTAATCCAACTTGCGGTCGACCGAATGGACTAATTCATGTATGTGGGGTTCCGAGAAGCGGTCGACCTCTTACATAATACGGTCGACCTCTTTGGTGGTCTAACAGAATGAAAGGTCGACCCAAATATCTCATAGGCCGACCCTTGTGCACCTAACAGGTCGACCGCATTATGAAGAGGTCGACCGCCTTCACACCGTATCCGTATTGGATATGGATTCCAACACCAGGAAGGTTCCACAATTGGACAAGAAAACGAATTGGATCGACCCATTCACGTCCTAAATCTCTATAAATACGAATATAAGTCCCCTTCAACGCCACCAAGTCTGAATTAGGTTTTTTTCCGACTTAGAGCCTTTGTGAAGAAGATCGTTCGCGGTTGCTGTTGTACGTGTTGGAAGTGGTCGACCAGGTCTAAGGTGCGGTCGACCTAATGTAGCATTCGCCGTCTACTTTTTTAATGCGTGATTTCCACCGGCTAACTTGATATATTGTTGGGTGCAGAATTAAATTCGGTCGACTGTGACGTCAACCAGGTCGACCTGACGAGACAATTCTTCGTATTTGAATTTAGGCCACAACACTTGGACTTCTGTACTTGCGAGGTAACCCAATTGGTCGACCTAATGGGTTTCAAGGTCGACCGTTTATGTTTTTTTGGTTATTCAACCTGAATGTCGACTTTGGCTTTGTTTGTATGACTATGTTGTGCTTGAAAAGGTCGACCGCGCCAGATATCTGGTCGACCTATCCTTTTTTCGGTTTAATTTTGAACTTACTTTTTGTTGTTAATTGTTATTTTCCTGCTGGATAGGTCGACCTAGGAATAACAGAGGTCGACCTGACGAGTTGTGGTAGTCACTATTTGTCTTCCAGGTCGACCTAATACTTTGTCAGGTCGACCACGTCTTTTTTTTTTGGTCAATTGTAGAAATTTGTACTTGAATTATGATTTGAATTTTTCTTTAAATTTTTTAGAGGATGACGCATGATGAGAAACTGCATCAAGATTTGGGTGAAATCATGAAATTGTTGAAAGTCACACAAGAGAAGCTGGTGGTGTGTCAAACACAAGTCAATGACTTTCAGAAGTCCATGCGTGATAGAGTGGAGCAATTGTCAGTTCGACTGACAGATATGACTGGGATGATGCATGACGGGTTTGAGAGGCTAGAAGGTGCTATCAAAGATATAAGTGCAGAACAAATGGAGAATGGCGGAAGAAATGGTAAAGGAAGGAAATTTGACTTTGGTAAAGAGGAGGAAGACCATGATGACTCTGAAAATTGCTACCAGAGCATAGACGATTTATTGAAAGAGCACATTTTAAAGGTATCCAAGTATATTCATATGTGATTGATATTAGTATTACTATCATTAGTGCTAATTTTTTTTGTTTATATGTTTGACAGAGTGAAACAACGAATGGCCGCAAGGGTTCCTCTCCTAATTACAAGAGACCGCGATATGAAAGTGACTCCTACACCACTCCACAAAAGGATCAATTTGTAAGAAAGGGATTATTTAGTGATGATAGCGATGAAGATGAATCTAAGAGTCCTTTCGAAAAGCACGGGGTACAGTTTACGTTACATATTCATCTATAATGTGTGTTTGTGTTCATATGTTACTTTAATTTTAACTATGATTTGTAGGTCATGAAAGTGGAGGGTCTAGAAGGATTCACCAAAAATCTTCAAAATCCAGTTGAAGACTTGTATTATGTTGTTACTAAAGAGAAGGTTGGGGACAATAATTGGGACAAGTAAGACGTTTTTTAGTACGTGTGGTCGACCGTTTGTCCAATAAGGTCGACCGTTTGTCCAATAAGGTCGACTGTGAACAGGTCGACCTGTACGTTGAAAATCACAATTGACATTTCTGTTATTTTGATTTTTGCAGTTTGACCGTTGTGGACTTTTTTTCTGAAAACGTGCAACGACATTATTTGAGTTCGGTCATTAGCGAGAATAGCTGGGTTTGCTCATCAGTAAGTACTATACTACTACGACTTTCGTATGAATTGTGCACTATTTATGTTACGATTTACGATGATTTTGTGTTTGATTGTTGGATGGTAGGTAGTGGATTTGTGTGCAAGGGCACTAACAATGTCTGAAAAACATGATGTGAAAGAGCCAAATGTGTGGTATTTGCCAAATATGTTTTCGGTAAGAGCCGTAATGTCAAATTATTTGTCATAACCTAGTTATTTATATTGTACCATGTCAATTCATCTCAACTAAACACATGGTGCAGAAAATGGTACGCGCTAACATGAAGACCAGACAAATTCGTAACAAGTTGATGAATGATGGCGTGGACTTTATGCCGAATGTCAGTGCATGCCAGAAGGTTAGTCTAGTCAATGTCCCTATATCATTAAATTTCAAAAGTGCATTTGTTTGTATTCGCTGTTTATAACATATAGTGAGTGTTTCGTTGCTAGATATTTATGCCAGTTCTTGACGATGAAGCACGTCATTGGTTTCTGTATCTCGTCAATGTCCAGCAAAAAAACTGCATTTTTGCTTGACAGTCTACCTTCAACTAGTGAGGCGAATCGTAGGCGTAAATCAGCACTATGCAAGAAATTGGTAAGTGTTTCCTATAATTTTCTGACTACTAAGCGTTACGTATTATGCTAGAAGCTTAAAATATTCGTTATTTGTGTGTAGTTGTCCACTTTGGATGATATTTTGAAACCAGAGCGCATGAGCAATGTATTAGTACCAAATTTTGGAGATTTCAATTTTGATGAGCTACCAGTTCAACGGCAAAGGAATAGTACTGAGTGTTGTGTGCACGTCATGCAGTGGATGCGCTATGGATCCAAGGATCTTGATAGAGTGGTGAGTATATCGTCAAACAAATAACTAGTTTAATTTACACTTTTTTTAGTTGTAACGAAATCTTACATGGCATAATGCAGATAGGAGAAGAACACAAATTACCGGCTCGAAAGGAGATTCTATGGTATCTGGCTACACATTTTGAAAACCGTGCACGAGAAAATATTTTCAAGCATGTAGTAGTTGAATGCATGGAATGAGGCAAAGAGAGACAGAGTTCAAACAAAAAAGCAAAGAAATGAAGTCGTTAAGTTACAATGTTGCATTATTTGGACCATACATTGAATTTGTATTTGCGAGATCGTGTCATTTTGGATTTTGAATGTTTATCGTTTATTAGATTTGTTATATAATTATGAATGTGACTGAATTTACGATTTCAATCGTCTAGAACAAGTGGTCGACCACATACTCAAAGCGGGCATACCCAAAGGCAGAGCACAGGTCGACCTCGTGACGCTTAAGGTCGACCTATGATACCGTAGCAAAGTCAAAAACCATGTAGAATAAGTATGGAATCTCGTCTGTTTGGCCTTAATAAAATACAGTCGACCATTCGTGTCAAGAGGTCGACCTGTGCTCACATTTATAATCAATGGTCGACCATTTCAGTAAAGGGGTCGACATGTTTCACATTTAAAAACAACGGTCGACCATTTGTGTAAAGAGGTCGACCTGTTTCACATTTACCCAAGACGCTCGACCATTTGTGCAAAGAGGTCGACCGTAATGATTCATGTCCTTGTACAATTAGGATTTTGTGTACTTGTTCTTGTCGAATTATGATTTTATATATCTTTCACCAATTGGATAAGGAATTCGTCTACATTATCTATAAATAGATGGGAGTCGTAAGACTTAAATCGTACTTCGATTTATGCAATTTGTTGGAGTGAAGTTGTAATCTCATCGCTCTTATTGTGATCGGGTGTTGGTGGCGGTTTATTTTTATTCCGGTAGACCGTAACAATAAGTGGTCGACCTCTTTGCTAAGGTATGTCTCGTATGTGCTTGTTAATGGTTGTATGTGG